TTTTGAGTAGGTGGGGGCTGCTGCCCCAACAACTGCCCCGTCAACGTCTGTCGTTTCAGCAGAAAATTCAAAATCTTTGATGAAAATCTTTTTTTGGATCACTCCTCTCGCTCTCTCTCTGCCCCCCCCCCCCCCCTTCCCTAGAAGTAATAGATAAGAGGAGGAGGAGAAGAACGAGTTGAGGAGTCGCTGTGAGGAGACGTCTTCCCACCCGAGTGCGATTATCTTGCTGACTGTTGAAGTGTTCCGCAGCAAAAATGGGAGCTGTTCTGGGGGGCTTGTCGTGCGCCAGTTGTGTAAGTTAGTGATTTATTTTAATCCTTACGGCCGCCATGTTGAAGTGACGCCACACTGTACCTGGGAGTGTTGAACCGTTGTCTGTAACTTTAGCATCGGACCCGAGGCTGAAAAATGTACTGCATTTTATTGCAGATTGTGGTCTGTATGATTGGGACTATAACTAATAATTCTTGATTCAAGACAGAGTAAGAGTCTGTGAATAATAGTAAAAAAAAGATTCACTTTCACTTTCCCCATCTCGGTTTTGTTTCCCTTAAAACGAAAATATCAGTTAAAGTTTATTGGCGAACAGCTTCATTAAATATGTTTCGTTTGAAACGTAAACCTGCATGTTTATCAACGACAGCAACTTTCAGAAGTAGACCAAACATAACCTGTCGGTGTTTATGTTGTTCGGGATTTCTGGATAACATATTGTTTGTTTGTTTTTTTGGTAGAAATACCACTATTTTACCATTGTAAAATATCTTTATATTTTATATTTATTTTACATGTTTTTATATGAATGGTGACCATTACCTGTATTAGTTTCTGGGCTTTGTGTTGGACAACATCTAATAGGTTTTGAATCACTTCTGGCTCAATCAGGATTAAAGAAAACACAGTTTAAGAGTAAGGTGAAATTATTTTAAATTCAACTAAATGTTCTACCCATACCTTTGTGATTCTAATAAAAAATACAAAATATTATAAAAAAATATATAAATTTCAAAAAATGCTTTGAAAAACACAGGAAAAATGAAGTCAGCCCTGAAGTGGCTACAGTTATCTAATAGATAAGATCGGTTCAAACTTGTATGAGTGAAAATTAAAATGAATCTGAGTATAACGACTTGTGCTCTTGTAATTTAAATGTCACCTCAAAGTACAACTGTACCATGGTCTTGTAAGCCAAAAATATGTGATAAATAATTTGAGTTAAAACAGACATTAGAGCAAAGGCACTGGGATCCAGTAGTCCAGAAATAGACAGATAAAAATGGGCCCAAAATTATTTATCCTGTATTGCTGGTAGGACATTTTTAGGATTTGAATTAAGGTGTAACCCAGGACAGACTGTGGACATGTCTGTACTTTATCTGGACCGCAGCAAAGCAAAGGGTTAATGGCAGCACATGCTGTCATCTGCTTACACGTGATTAATTGGATTAGGTCTGCTTTGTGGACTGTCTGAACAGAGACAACAACAACAAGAACCACAACTAGTTTGTTGGACGGCATGCACACAGACCGTAGTACAGGAGCGGGCTCTACAACAGGAACAGGTAGTTAAGTTAACAGTTACAACCAGTACCTGACCAGGATGAGAGGCTTAATGGTAATACAGACAATAATTATTAAAATAATAATGATAATAAGAATATAGGTGAAATACATTCTATATAATCAACAACTAATAACCAGTTTTCTGAGTAACTCTTTGAAAAACTGTGGTTTCTTTTTTTTTTTTTTTTTTTTTTTTTTTATTTTTTTGTTCATTTTTACAGAAAAG